CAAGGCGATCAAACTGGTCAGTCCTAGAGGAGATCAACCCTGACTGCTCTTTAGAAGGCCAGATCCTGAAGATGAAACTCAAAGACTTTGGCCACCTCATGAGAAGGAAGGAAGACTCACTGGAGAAGAGCCGAATGCTGGGAAAGATTGAAGGCCATAGAAGAAGAAGAAGGGGACAGCAGAGAAGGAGAGGGCTGGATGGAGTCACTGAAGCAGTCAGTGTGAGCTTAAATGAACTCCAGGGATGACAGAGGACAGGAAGGCCTGGAGGAACGTTGTCCATGGGAATCGTGATGGTCTGGCACGACTTCACAGCTAACAACAACAATTCTTAAAGCCCTACATTCCTCAGATGGACTTTCTTCCTTGTTTCATGTACTATTTAAAGGGAAAGCACTTTATCCCATCTTTTCAGCTGGAATACAGCTGGATTTCCAATGTGTGTAGTTATGACAGTGGCAGACTGTATCACAGCCCTATAATTTTATTAGCATTCTTCTTGTGTTGATTCCCAGTAGATTCTCCAGATCCAAAGCTCATTTTAGGGCTGAAGCTCCTTTTCCAGAGTTGGAACACAGTGTAGAACCTACTTTCTAGTGTTAGCCAGATCTTTCCCCTTTATATTTTGCTCAGAGTGTTGGACAAGATGTTGATCGCCATTTTGACCTCCTAGTAACAATACAGTCTTTGTTCAGTGACCATTCAAAGTTGCGACAGTGCTGAATGAGGGAAACTTATGACTCTTCCTTGTGGTTGTGGCCATTGTAGCCTCCCTGCAGTCACGGGATCATGATGTGGATTCTTGGTAGCTGGCTAACAATTGCGATGGTTGCAGCACCCAGTGGTCATATGATCACCATTTGCAACCTCCACTGCCGGCTTCCAACAAGCAAAGGCAATGGGGAAGCCCGCAGAAAGTTGTGGATCACGTTTATGTGATCGCAGGATGCTGAAGCGCTGCTGGATTTGCCTAATTATGACAACTGGAACTACCAGAACTGCCATTGTAAGTCAGCACAGTCACGCTTAGCAACGGACTTACTGGTCCCAGAACTGAGTGCAGAATTTCTGTGGCCAAGCTAAACACAGTTATTGAGTTATGCTACAACTTTTCCCCCCTTCGGTTAAGTAGTTAAGTGACTCATATGCTCCTTAAGTGAATCCAGTTTCCCCTGTTCACTTTGTTTGCTGGAACCCAGCTAGGAGGGTCACAGATGGCAGTCCCAAACACCTGGATGCTGTAATGATGGTAAGTGTGAAAAATGGTCATAAGTCACTTTCTTCAGTTGCCATTGCAATTTCGAACTGTCGCTAAACAAATGTAAGTTGAGGGCCATCTGTATAACAGATGTGGACGTAAGTGGGAGACAGGACACAAAGTAGGAAAACACTGCACCTCCTAAAGCTGAATTCAGAAAGGGGTTTTGGCAGTAAGATCTCTTGGACATTTGCAGACCTTCGGCACAAATTCATTGTGCTGGTGCAAATTGCACTCAGCAGTGTTTTCTGTTTGAAACTCTTGGATGAAAGTGATTGATTGCATAATAGCATGTTTGCATAAAAGATATTTCTGTAAAATGAGGGAAACCCATACCTCCTTTTCTTTCGATTGAGCATCGCAATGTAAAAACTCAGTCCATCATTTCTTCCTGTTTCTTGTTCAGCCCTGCCACCACTTCAGTTAAATGTTATCAAAATGAAAAGGCAATTGAATATTTGGTGCTCTCTGAGCTCGTTTTTCTTGCAGACATTTCACTACCCTAACTAGGTAACATCCTCAGTGCTAGTGAGGAGGGCTGTTTGCTGGCCCTCTGTGTGGGTGGGGGCGGCCTTAGGGATTCTTGGTTGGGCTGTTCACATCAAGAATATCTCAGAAACCACAAATAGGCTACCACAACCACATGGAATCAGCATGGTACACAAGCCAACTCAAGCCCTCCAAAACAAACCAAAAGCATCCAACAACCCCAGGAGAAAAAAAACAGGAGTTATCTACTACAGCATACGATGTTAAATGCAACAACTGCTATGTGGCACGAACAGGCAGAAAGAACAGGAAACCCCCGGCATTCAGAAGACATGAAAGTTCTTTCATTTCACAGATTTTTAACCCTAGTTTCAATTGGGAAAATGGGACCCTCCTAGACCAGGCCAAGTCCAAAAATGCCAGGGAATTTCTAGAAGCCTGGTACTCTGACAAATCAGCCACCAGTAGACACAAGAGACACTAACAACCTCTATAGACTGGGCAAAAGAGACAATCAACCAGCCCAAAAGAGAACAAAAAAGACGCCAGCATCTCTTCACCAGGAATCAGCACCCAGATCAGCTTAGATTAACTCCAAGGTCAACTTCAGACCAACTAACAAGTAAGCAACACAAACATCTGCCAAAGAGCCATCAGTAAACAGCCCAACCAAAGAATCCCTAAGACTTCCCCTCACCTGCACAGACGGGCAAGATCCCAGAATATAAACTGAGAGCAAACAGCACTCCTTACTAGCACTGATGCTGTTACCTAGTTGGGTCATGAAACGTCTGTAAGAAAACAAGCAAGCTCAGAGAGCACCAAGAACCCTTCATTTCAGCCCTGAGCTACAAATATTCTCCTTTGTTGGAATATTTGTGTATTGATGAACCTTCAGTTCAGGTTTTTAGTCCGTTTGTTTAGTGTGTTCTTATAAAAACTAAACTTGTAAATAAGAAAAATTTAAATTCAACAAGCAGGCTAGAAATAAACCATCTACTAAGTCATATTTGTTTGAAAGTAAGATAATGGCTTTTCTCCTTTCAAGAAATTCTCTCCTTTATACTTTTGTGCATGGATCCTTTGGCATTTTGGAGCATTTTGGGTGATTTAGTGTGCGTTGACAGTTTATACAAAATATATTAAAGCTTCTTTGATGTCTCCTTTGCTTTCTGTGAACTCAGGCAAACAGCAATTCACTTGGTATTCTGCCAAAAATTGGTGGCTGTGGGCAGATTCTTGTCCAGTTTTGATTTTTGCCATCTTGAGATAGAGCTGATAAATGCTGCTGTACGAAATGTTCAGAGTATTGAATTACAGATAGTCCTCAACTTATGACCGGTCGCTTAGCAACCTTTTGAAATTATAAGCCCCCAAAAGTAACTTACGACCCAGTTTCGAAGTTCTGATGTCACACACACCCTGCCTGCATTTTGGGTGCTTGGCAACCAGCCCTCATTGACAGCCAGTTGTGGCCCTCTGTGACCACAATTTGCTGGAAACCAGCATTTACTTCTGGTTTATGGCGATCTCTTCACAACTGCCATATTCGCTTAATGGCTGCCACAAAACGGGTCCCAAAATTGTGTTCGGTCACGTGGCACTCTGCTTTACAACCATCACAACTTATAACCGTAATTGCAGGGCTCAGTTGCAGTCCTAACTCGAGGACTATCCATAGGACCAATCCTTTGATTTGGTGTAGAGAATCTTTCTCTGTGTCTATATCGCTAACTATTCTCTTGCCCTACATTCTATTATTTTTATATTCCTCCCACACTGTGCCAATAAATACAAGCTGTTTTGTTTGAATTCTTCCTCTTGAACTTTTTCTAAACTTCTCCTGCAGCTGCTTTCCTGTGTAACCTGACGCACGAAATACCTGTCAAGATCCTTACAGCAGATAAATTTAGGTGGCTGAACAGAAATATATAGGTTTTAAGCACTGGAAAGGGAGTTATCTGCAACTTGGTGCTTAGGTTTTAATTATTCAGAAAAGTACATTGTTTACAGATTTGAGACTAGGGAAGTTATTTTCCAGCTAAGGAGGCCATGAATGAAAAATAATAAAAGATCAGCACTCACACTTCCTACACCTGTATAATATTTGATAATTCTGATATTTACATAACCATATCTGTGTTGTATTGTTGCATTATTACACTTTTTTAGAATATTGTTGCATTGTACTCTTGGTTATCTCTGTGATGCTGTTTTGTGATAATTGGAATGATGGTTGAAACTCATTGTTTCAAAAGAGCTTCCATAGGTGTGTTAGGATACAAGACATGCAGTTATATTGCAAGTGCTTTATAACACACACACACACACACACACACACACACTTACAATGAAGTTACACGTGGTTTTTGTTGTTGCTCTCTTTACAACAAACCTGGGAAAGGCTGCTTAGGGTCTTATCGACTTACAACCATAGACAAGGGAATTTCAGGAATGAGATCGTGCCGTTGTTCACTTAACAATGCAGGGATTCGCTTTTTCAAAAGGCAACTAGAATTTGTTTTCTTTTTCGTTGAAGACATTTTGCTTCTCATCCAAGAAGCTTCTTCAATTCTGGCTGAATGATTGATTCAGTCTGACTGATTCAGTCAGAATTGAAGAAGCTTATTGGACGAGAAGCGAAATGTCTTCCTCAAGGGGAGAAAAAAATTCCAGTTGCCTTTTGAAAAAGCACTTTTGAAACAGTCATGATCAGGATGACTGAGAATCTCCATAGGCTTTTTAACCATTTGCTTAGCAGTGGAAATTCTGCTCCCAATTGTGGTCATAAGTGGAGGACTCCCTGTACACTTCTTTAGATTGCCTGGGGCTTCCAACGGTTTAACACAGAGGGGTCCAAACTTGGCAACTTTAAGACTTGTGAATTTCAACTCCCAGCTATGCTGACTGGAGAATTCTGGGAGTTGAAGTCCACAAGTCTTAAAGTTGCCAAGTTTGGACACCTCTGTGTTAAACGTGTCTTTTGAGACATTACAAGAATATGTTTGTGAGACTTGAATTTATAGAAGTGTTTGTACTTCACTCAGGCAACATAAAGCATTAGACTTTGGAAGATCAGATATTATTAGTCACCAGGTAGTAATTGTATGTGTTTGTGTACAATCTGTAGTGCAAAAAACGTTCTTTTGTCATCAACTAATACTTCCTGTTTATCTGTCATTTCTTGTTTCTGATCTTTGCCATAATTCCAGCTCCTTCTCACTGTGTAGTCCAGTGCTGCAGTATCTTTCTAATGGCATCTTTTACAGAGGTATTGTAGTTTTATTACCATATGTATCCCTATTTAATGCAAATATTAAATGGGGTCAAAATATACTATTCTTGGCACATCGTCTTTGATTTACTAAAATTGTTTGGGAAAATGAGGCAATTTGAGTATCTTTCTATAATTAATATTTGCAATTTGAGCAGGCTGCTAACCTATTAAATGCATTTGTATTATGCTGTATTATGGGTTTTCAACTGATGCTTTGTAGACCTCTGGTCAGTGATAAAGGTTAAGCTGATTGGTGCTTTCTCCCAGTTGTGGCATTAAAAAGGCCAGTGTGCTCAATTTGGACATCAGCAATGAGACCAACCCATGTATCCACCAATCACAATAAGAAATAGATATTCCCTTAGGCCAATATATGCATTAAAAGGCTAAGAGCCAGAACTCAAGGTCACGGCTGGTAATAAGCTAGTTTTATTACAGACACTAGAAAAGCTGCCTCTAGCTACTCCCAACTGTAAACCTCAGGTTTTATATAAACGGTTCTGGGATTCAAATCTTACATCTGTTCTTATTAATGAATCTTAGCTTTTATAGTGGAATAAACGCAGGGGAGGGGGCTTCACATCTGGACTGCTCTTGCAGAATAAAACCTCAGGCTCTTCGCTTGGTCCTTCTAGCTCTTATTCCAACTTTTATTTATTTCCACTTCTCCCAAGAATAGAATAGGCATCTTAAGGTCTGAAAGGAGAGATTTATAGTAAATCAACATTTCAGCAACTAAAAACCAAAGAACTCTTTGCCCTTGTAGAAGCATTTTTCCGCTAAGCTCAAACAACAAGAGTGAAAATGGTTTACTAATCTTTACATGCAGTGGCCCAAATATTTACATAAATTTTGTGATAAGGTCACCACGCGATGTTTTAAAGTCCCTATGATAACCTGCACTCCAGCAGACCTTTCTCAGCATTGAAGAATGCCCGTGCTCTCGGCAACTTCCATCTTCTGCTTGCTCAGTCTGTGGCAGGGGTCTCCAAACTCTGGTCCGTGGCCCCGTGCTGTTCCTTTGGAACTGGGCCGTGATAGCGGTGGGCGGGTGCGCGAAGCTGCAGTTGTGAAAGTGGTGCATGTGTGAAACCATCTCCTCCCCCCCACCCCACTGCCCCCTCCATCGGTCCGCCCAGCTGGAGAGTTGGGGGACGGCTGGTCCGTGGGATAGAGGCAGTCAGAGCTCCAGTGAGGAGGCCCCTTGTTTGCTGAGGAACCGGCGGGGGGATCTGAAGTGACTGGAAAGCTGGGTAGCGCAAGGGTCAAAAATAGAAGTGGCGGTGATGGAGATCTGGTAACAGCGCAGTCTGAACCTGTGCACAGGTGATAATGGTGGGGAAAACATCGGTTCATGTCTGCACTTTCTGCATTTGTAGATTCCTCCCTAAGGTAAAAGGTAAAGGTTCCTCTCACACATATGTGCTAGTCGTTTCCGGCTCTAGGGGGCAGTGCTCATCTCCGTTTCAAAGCCAAAGAAAAGCCAGCGCTGTCCGAAGACGTCTCTGTGGTCATGTGGTCAGCAGGACTAAACGCTGAAGGTGCATGGAACGCTGTTACTTTCCTACCAAAGGGATCCCTATTTTTCTACTTGCATTTTTTACATGCTTTCGAACTGCTAAGTTGACCGAATCTGGGACAAGGAACGGGGCGCTCACTCCATTACGCGGCACTAGGGATTCGAACCTCTGAACTGCCAACCTTACTGATCGACAAGCTCAGTGTCTTAGCCGCTGAGCCCCCGCATCCCTCAGAGATTCCTCCCTAACCTCATTGAAAACAATCTGGACCTTGCTCTGGAAAGACGACAGGGACACATCTCCTGTGGGTCTGTCAGAAGTGGTGTATTTATTCTGGGCTGGAATAATCGGGGCCGAGCTATGGAGGTGAACAAGATAGAACTGGAGGTGATCTGGATTCCTTCAAGCACGTGGAAGACGAGGAAGTGGAGAGGGTTCTTTGTGGTTTGAGTCAGTAGGCTTGAGCTGTGCATTTTTCTGGTTCTTTCTGGCGGTCAGGCAGGGTGTGAGATAATTAACACTTCCTTGTGGGAGGAAGCAATGCTACCTGCCCTAATCAGGTAGCAATCCTTTGGAATCTCCCAGCGTAATTCAGTGCCATCAACAGTATCTAGTTAAAGCCATTAATGTTAGTGAGGGTGGTTGGCAGCGGCCAACCCTGTTGCCTAAGCCGATGATTCCAAGTCTGTAATTGTGTGTGAGAATTCGGAGAATACAGAATAGCGGAGTTGGAAGGGACCTCGGAGGTCATCTAGTCTAACCCCCTCCCCAACCTTTCGGGCACCAGGGACCGGTTCCGTGGAGGGAGTGTTTCCCGTGGACTGGAGTGGGCGTGGCTTCACATGCTGCCTGCATCCCACGGATGGGGCTTTGCTTGTTAGTGCAGACCAGTCAATACAGACCAGAGCGTAGGGACCCCTGCCCTACACCATCCTGGACAAATGGCTGTCCAACCCCTTTGTAAAATTACCTCCCGTGATGGAGCCCAGTGGAAGTAGCCCCCAAGTTCTTAAAAGTCACCGAGTTCGGAGAGCCTTGTTGTAATGTGGAGGGCAAGGGAGGTGACCTTCCTGGAGATACTCAAAAGTGATGTTGCTGAGGCAAAACAGGACGAGTGCAAGACATGCCTGGATCGTGTTCAGAAGCTCCCAGACCGACACCTGCCTCCGTCAGAAGAAGGAGGAGGAGGTGCAGCACGATCAGACTTGAATGTTTCAGTTCTTAATAGCCAGTCTCAGAAAGGGTGGTTATAGCCATCCGGCGGTGTTGAATCGATGGTCTGTCTACGTACAGTTCCTCCTTTGGCCTGAGCTCATTGTAGACTCTTGAGTGTTTCTTGGGAATATGCTGGATCTAATTTAAGACTTGGAACCCTGCCTGGAATTCACTAAAGTTAGAAATGTTTAAGAAGTAAATAAGTGCAACTTCACTAAGCAATGAAGTAATGAATAAGAGGCAATTGCATACCAAAAACCACAAAAGGCAAATTTGCCACAGCTGAAGAATAAAAGTAATTCTCAGCTCTTTGCTCTGGTTGTTTCTTGTGTTGTGTGTCAGGAGGATTTGAATCCCTTTATTTTCCTCATTTGTCCTGTGTTGGATCCACCAGCAGCCTCATGTTTTATAGAAGTCACACATGTTTCTTTTGTCTGGATGCGTTTGTAAACTCCCTCTCCTTTGGGGATTTACCAGGAAGTGAGTGTAGTTTTACAGCGCTTTTGTCTGTTGGTTCATAATGCAACAATCGGGTTTTGAAAAGAAAAAAAACATGGTTCTGTGTCAGGAAAATCCGGATCTAGAATAATAAAGCCCATTTCTTCCTGAGTTAAGGACAAATTTAACTCGGCTATCCAAAGTATTACTAGCTAGAAAAACTACCCTCTGTCTTTCCTACAGCAAACGAACTGCACAACTTAAGCCTCTTAAATAGAAATGATCCTTGGCTCCATTTGTTGAGAAAGTTAGTGATCAAGTATATTGCAGTATTGCAAAGCCAGAACTGAGATTTGTGTTGCCAAAATCCTTAAGGGCTACTTTTCCTTCCCTTAACTATCCCTCATGGCCCACCCCAGTGTAACCAATCAGGTTCAGGCAAGATGTTTTCGTAACAGTCAGTCCACTTTGATATGTGGCTCCTTCCTTTTAGCTAGGTGGTCTTAGTGTCTGGAGAAGGCATAGCACTTGCTTTCATTTCCCCAAGCCTTCCCTCCTTCATTCCCCCTTCCCACGGTTCATGGCAGTCACATAGCAGTGAAGCACAAGCAAGCATAAGGTGGAAGCTGACATATACTTCATTGAATTTGGACCAAGCTTGGATTCCCAGTTAACCACAAGGCTCAGAGAGGATGACTCCAGATGAAGTCTCTCTTCTTTGGGTCACTAGATCTTTTTTAGCAGGAATGAGCAACTACAACAACTTTTTGACCTGTGGACTTCAATTCTATTTTTTTATTTTGTTTGTTTATTTTATTTATTTTATTTTGTCAAGCGATTATTAGATAACAGGTATAAGTATAAACATAGTTATCAGTACATGAAATGGATACGAGTAAGAAAAAAAAAACAATAGGACAGGGACGGTAGGCAGGTTGGTGCGCTTATGCACGCCCCCCTACAGACCTGAGGTCAATCGTAGACAGTCTAAGGTTCAAGTTTGGGGGGTTTGGGGAAGAAACCACAGAGTCAGGTAGAGTATTCCAGGCATTGACCCCTTTGTTGCTGAAGTCGTAGTTCTTGCAATCAAGTTTGATGCAGTTTACCTTGAGTTTGTATCTATTGTGCGCTCTTGTGTTGTTATGGTTGAAGCTGAAGTATTCATTGACAGGTAGGACATTGCAATGTATGATTTTATATACTATACTTAGATTGGACCGAAGGCGGCTTAGTTCTAGGTTGTCTAGGTCTAGAATTTCAAATCTGGTGGCATAAGGTATTCTGCAACGATTAGAGGAGTGGAGAACTCTTCTTGTGAAATATTTCTGGGCTTCCTCAACTGTGCTAATATCAGATATGTAATGCGGGTTCCAGACTGATGAGCTGTATTTAAATGTTGGTCTAGCAATAGGAAAAAAAGGAGAAAGGAAGAAGTAGTAATAGGGATGTTCAAGAACATAATCATTTTATAAGCTGGGTGGGCAACTATGGCAACCCTAACCCTAATCTGTGGACTTCAACTCCCAGAATTCCCAAGCCAAATGTGCCTGGAATACTCATCTCTAATGACCTAAGTGCTAGAGCCCACTGTAACTACATAACCAAAAAGGCATTAAGAGTTATAAACCTAATCCTGCATAGCTTTTTCTCTGGTAATATCACTCTACTAACTAGATCATACAGCAGGCCTAATTAGGTGTATCCTTTTATCTACTACGCACCAAAACTGTATTGGGGATGCTACCCTTGTTTGTTTGTTCTGGAATGTTGCACATCCTGCCTCATATTTCTATTTGGCAATCTGCTTTTCTACTGTATCATTGAAATAATTGAGGATTTAAGTCTGCGTAAATTTGCAGAGGTATTAGCATTAGAACTAAAAAATTAAATTAGATCTGAATTCTAAATTAGAACTGGGTATTAGTACTTCGGGTAAACATCTGTAGAAGTGAATTCTCAAAGTGGTCTTAATTAAACAAAAATAAAATAAAATGCAAACTTTTTTTAGACCGTTGTGTTTCCATAGTTTATTTGTAGGTTGAAAATTCAGCCAAAATAAAACCCAACTAAAAGACCAGTTACTTTGTTCCTTTAAAATGTTTCCTGAAGTTCCTGGTTAAGTAAATAACAAGAGAAGGCATGGTAAAAAAAACAAACTTGAGCACCTTGCTAATATTGTAGTGAATAATTTTAAATTAACAAGAGAATTGTACTGTGTTTGAAGGGCCAAGGTGTGACGTGGAGTGTATGGAGGTGTGCACAGAGCACCTGTCCGGACTATCTTCAACCAGACACCTCTTTCTCGGAGATCACATGGCAATTGCAGGAGGAGCTGTGCAAAGCCCAGCTGCTGTTTTAAGATCCTCCCGACAGGTGTGATGGGTGTGGCCACCTGGGCTCCAATCATGCTTTGTCCTCCTGTTCCTTCCTTATACAGCAGAGTAGGCAGCTGTGCCTCCTTTACAACCTGTGCACCTCAATTCCCAGAATTCCAGAGCCATGGCTGACTCGGAAATTCTGGGAGTTGAAGTCCACGGGTTGTAAAAGGGCCACAGTTGCCCACCTCTTGACTTACAGTAGTTTCCTTTAGTGACCACTCAAAGTTACGATGGCACTGGAAAAAGCGACTTATGACCGTTTTTCACAGTTACAACTTTTGTAGCATCCCCATGATCGTGTGATTAAAATTCAGATGCTTGGCAACTGGTTCATACTTACGACCATTCCTGTTTCCCAAGGTCACGTGGCCATCTTTACAACTTTTGACAAGCAAAATCAATGGGGAAGCCAGATTCACTTTAACAACCAGGTTGCTAACTTATCAACTTGCAATGATTCATTTAATAACTGTGGCAAGGAAGGTCGTAAAATGGGGCAAAACTCACTTGGCAAATGTCTCATTTAACGGCAGAAATTTTGCGCTCAATTGTGGTCGTAAGTCTAAGGCTACCTTTGTATGCCTTCGTATAAATGTTTCATTCGAATCTCGTGGAGAAACACCAATAACGGAATAACAGCATTGGAAGGGACCTTGGAGGTCTTCTAGTCCAACCCCCTGCTCAAGCAGGAGACCCCATACCATTTCACACAAATGGATGTCCAGACGTTTCTTAAAAGCCTCCACAAGTTCTAAAGACAAGTCCTTCCACTGGTTAATTATGAAGAAATTTCTCCTTAGTTCCAGGTTGCTTCTCTCCTTCATTAGTTTGCATTCACTGTTGTCTTGCCTTTGGCAAAGAGGTTGACCCCTCTTTGTGGGAACCCCTTCAACATTGGGACACCGCTATCCTGTCCCCCCCAGTTCTTAGTTTCTTTTCACTAAACTAGACTAGCCAAGCCCAGTTCCTGCAACCGTTCTTCGTGTGTTTTAGCCTTCAGTCCCCTCATCAACTTCGTCGCTCTTCTCTTCACTTTGACCAGTGTGTTTCATTTACCAACGGTTTTAATTCCTTTCTCTGGAGTGCATGTGTACAACATGGGGCAACGTTCATGTGAGAACTTCCAACTCCCCAAATTCCCCAGCCATCCATGCTGGCTGGGGAATTATGGCAGATTAAATCCACAGGTCTTAAAGATGACAACGTTGCTCACGCCTGCTCTGCTGCGCTTATTTAATCTGATTGCTCTTTTTAAAAGCATTTTGCCCCCTTTCCCTCCTTCCAAACCGTTTCTGGAAGTTGAAGAAGGCCAAGCCATCGGACTCACGTTAATTCCTTTTTAAAAAAAAAAGCTTTCAGGATCAGGATAAGGCAGTGTTTTATGAGAATTAGATTTAACTAATCAGGACCTGCTGACAAGGCAGGAAGTTACCTGTCCTCTCCTTCCCCCTCTCTAAAAAAATAACCTTGCCAGTTAAATCTGATCAGTGCTGGGGTAAAAAAAAAGAGAGAGAGAGAGAGAGAGGAGGAGAAAGAAATGAGCTTTACTAGCAGCAGTAAAATCTAGAAGTGATAACTCAGAGAATGGGACTAAGTAGCCGTGTAAAATAAAACTTACTCATCAATTGTTTTATCCTATTTATTCTAAAAAGCATGAATCTTGTTTTCAGATTTACGTTTTGCTGCCTTAAGTTGGCAAAATTTAAAAAAGCATCCTCGTCTCTTAAGAGTTGCACAAGTATTCTTCTATTTAAAATACATTTAATTAGAAAGAGTTAAATCAATATAACTACCCTATTGTGTGTATTAGAGCTTTTCATTTAATATGGATGAGCAAAGCAAAGTATGCTGGATCAAATTTGTTATTAAAAAAAAAAACTTAGTTCAGTAAAGTATCAAAATGAATTTTGCATAAATGTAAGTTTTCTCCAACTTTCACTTTTTCTGGAAAACGATGAAAAAAATACTCCATCCCCCAGCCTCATGATATCAATATTTCTAGAACATTTGCACTTCTAGAAGGATTCAATTTTTATTCTCTGGAATTTATCCAAAATTGATTTTTTTGGTCCTTGAATGTCTGCTGTGAGTTGCAGAAAAGTTTGGAATAGATTCAGATACGCAGGTGAGAGTGAAACAAAATGTCAGGGTCTTGTAGAAACTAAAAATGTGCTTCGTATAGATGTAAGAAGCTGTTTGCTGCAGCTTTGTGTTGCAAAGAAAATTTAGTATTTTTATTGCTGCTGATCTCATTGAGCCATTTTTAAAAACTTCCCAGGGAACCAAGTTTTATTAAGGCATGATTGAAAATGTAGGGGACCCCCTTCCTCTCTCAGTATCTGAGCAGAAAAACTGAATTAAGTTAAATCCACAAGAGTGAAATGAAATCTACTACAATGAAATTAATTGAAACCCTCATTAAATACATGTTTGGTGATGTGGATTGAATGGAGCTCTGGGTGTCAGATTCTTTTGCGGCAGACACAATTGACCAGTTGCAGCTTGTTGTCTCCAAGAGGGCTGCTCACCTTCCTGTTTTGCAGACAGGTGTGGATTACCTTTTATCTCTTAAGTTTAAGTCTAGTTTCCAGGAATTTAAAGCAGCTTCAGAGAAACCATTGAAGTTACATCCAGCAGTTGCTTGAATGGTAGAAAACTGACAACTCAGCGATGAAACTCCAAATAGATGAAAAAGAAGGGTGATGTTCAGACAGAAATTGACCAAATAATAAAAGCTCAGAATGTTTATTTTTAAATCTTAGAATTCCTTCCTTCCTTCCTCCCTCCCTCCCTTCTCCTATAAACATTTCAGTTTCTCCCACATATAGTTCATTTTGATTTGCACTGTTGACATCAAACTTGTGGTCTAGACTACTTAAAGACTAGATTGGATGTGTGTCTAGTCGTGTGTACTCCTTCAATTCAATTGCAGTTCTTAGTTTTAATAGACCAGAAAATGTCTTTCAGTCCAAGGTGCAAGATTGATCATGGACTGTGTTTGTCTTTCTTCCTCTTTTAATGGACGTGTTCTCTGACCGGCTTCTAAGAAATCTTGTTATCAATGAACAAAATGTGAAAGCTATAGATCATTGAATTAGATTCATGCGATTACATGTTAGATAAGTGGGCCTTAGAAAGTAACAGATTTATTTTACAAATAGAATAAGTGAAATCCTTTTCAATTTAATGTTTAGAGTAGACACGATGTATTTGCCAGCCGTACGAGGTAGAACAGACCAGCTGACTGCACAAAGAAACTAGAATTATGCTTTATTGAGTTAGACTAGAATAACCGAACCTTTCGAGTCTGCTTGTGTTTTTCTCTTTTCTCCCTCACAGAGTCAGGGAAAAGCCACCCTGAGCCTCTTCCTAGTACTATCCCCTTTCCTGGGGCTTAAGGAATGCTTCTGCCCTTCGGGTTTCTGCAAAGCCTTCGGAAAATTCCCCTTCTCTCTGGCTTATAGTACTTCAGAGAACGAAGTCCAATATGAAGTCTGTTTTCCCCCAAAGATTGGGATTCGATCATCCTACTGGTGATTTGACTAATTTAACCTGATCTAAAGCGATACCGTATTCATTTTTCCTTTTCCTTTAAGGAACTTGCTGTTTATCATTGCCAGCAGAAAGGAGGATCGGCTGACGTAAACTCACTAGAAGTTCGAAGCCATGGCCAATCCTGCAGGAGAAGAACCCGTCTCCAAACCTGTAGAACTTTGCCACGAATGTGGACAAATTCACTTGTTGCCCGACAACCACCTTTATAACTTCCAAGATGAAGTAGATGATGACTTGACCTGCCACATTTGCCTCCAGCCTTTGCTCCAGCCCATGGACACGCCTTGTGGACACACGTACTGCTTCAGGTGTCTTGAAAACTTCATGCAGGAGCACAGCTTCTGCCCCATGGATCGGAAGAAACTTTCCTTCCAGAACTGCCGGAAGTCTAGCTTGCTGGTGCGGAATCTGCTGGATAAGCTCGTGGTCCTTTGTCCCTTTCAAGAAGACTGTGCGCAGACGATGCAGCGGTGTGAACTCGAAGCTCACTTGCAGAACAGGTGTGCCTCATTTTCCCTTGTAGCCTCAGCGATGCTTGCTTGTTATGCTTTTATTCTTGGCACGGTTAGTAACTTACCATTTCATGTCAGCCTCGTGCTGAATGTTGCACATCATAATGACAATTCGGAGAGGAATGTCCTTGAGTGACTCATATTCTGTCCACGTTACTCAACGAAAAGCCGTAAGTGTCTGAGTGACGCCAGGATGACATTCTGCTTAGTTTGGGGAAGAAACTGAAACTAATTAAGGCAGGCTGGGTGGAGAGAGAAACTGGGATGGAAGAAATTGAATTGAGAAATTTGGGTAGGGAGTTACTAAAAAAGGATGTTTTTGAGAACAGAATAACAGAGTTGGAAGGGTAATTCTAGGGCAACCTCCTGTTTAAACAGGAGACCCTACGCCATTTCGGATAATCTATCTGGTCTCTCCTTAAAAGCCCCCCCAGTGATGGACACTATTGGTGTCTCTGGGAGTATTAATCTGCACTTTGGTTGGTTCTTGAAAGTTTTAGAAGGAATGTGATAGATTGGGGGAAAAAACACACACTTGGCTCAAGGTAAAAATAGCTCCCACTATTTATATCCTCAAGTTCACTTGAGGAAATGGTGCATATAGGAAGCATCTTTTAAATTATAACCTGCCAATGTGCTTGCTTCTTCTCGGGCTCACCTATTTACTTATGTCTCAAAAATAGTATACGGTCATACCTTGGCATTTGGCCGCTTTCAAAGGCGTCGAATGTCATACTAGATGCATTTTGATGTGAAAATGTTGTCCCAGGATAGGTAGTCTTTGATTTATGACCACAATTAACCCACAAAATTCCGTTGTTAAGCGAGACAGCAATTAAGTGAATTTTGCCCCATTTTGCAGTCTTTCTTGTTAAGTGACTCCCTGCAGGTCACTTGCTGGAAGGTCGCAAAAGCTGACCAGATGATCCTAGGACCCTGCCACTGTCATAGACCTGAATCAGTTGCCAAGGGTTCAAATTTTGTTCACGTGGCCATGGGGATGCTGCAATGGTCGTAAGTGTGAGAAGTGGTCACTAGTCACTTTTTTCAGTCACTAAAGGAACTGTTGTAAGTCGAACCACCTGGACTCATCATTTGTTTGGTATTCGATGCAGAAGCTAGAACTCATCAGTATCTGTTGCCTTGTGACTTGCTATCTTTCCCAGCCAAAAACAAAGCGTCACATGTTTTACACGCTTATGACGTGAGCAGGTCAGTGGTAGCTCTTGCCCTGTGCACATCCCCTTGAAGTCTCATCTTGGCTTCTGTGGTCATTTTGAGTATGTTTGTGCTTTGTTTTTTTCTTTTTCACAGGAAAAGTGACATTTTTATTTTATTTAATCTTAAGTATTTATTCATTTTTAAGTTTATTTCTCATGCAAATAATAATATACAGTCCCATTTAAAAAAAATTTACATTGCCTTAAAAATGTGTATTGTCTTTGGTTTGGGAATGCATTTATTTGCATTATTTCTTATGGGAAAAATTGGTTTGGTACTCTTCATTTTTGGTACTTGCCCTGCCTCCTGGAACCAATTAATGACAAGTACTGAGCGAGATACCCCTGTATATTTTTGAAAGACCGGCGTTTCCTTAACAACTGTTTTAATTCCTTTCCCTCTAGAGCACGTGTTGTCCAACCTTGGCAGCTTTAATGTGTGGACTTCAACTCCCAGAATTCCCTAGCCGTCCATGTTGGCTTGGGAATTCTGGGAGTTGAAGTCCAGAAGTCTTAAAGTTGCCAAGGTTGCCCTTATTACTACTGCACTTATTACTCTGATTGCTCGTCTTAAAAAGCATCTCTGCCCACCCAAAATTCAGACACAAGTTAGAGAAATATTTCAGGTGGCTAATTTAGCCACAAAATTCCATTGTTAAGCGAGACAGCAGTGGATTTTGTGAGAGGACAGACGTGGAGCTTCTTTGGAAATTGGAAGTTCTATTGGTGTTTGCTGTCTTAATGTAGGTGTCCTGGCTTCAAGAAATACACGGAGCGTCTGGAAAGGAAGAGGAATCCTCGGTCCAGGATGAAGGGAGATTCTCTTTCCAGGCTGGAATCAAAGGCTGTAAAAGATCCCGAAGTATCAAACGGGGTGTCCACTTCAGTGCCTGGAGGCTCAGTAGCTGCCGTTCCGTCACCAGAGATCGCAGATCCTGGGGTGGTTAACCCAGCCTTTGATGGGAGTGAAGAAGGTAGGCCTGTCTTAAGCTGCTAGAGCAGAGGTCTCCAAACTTGGCAGCTTTAAGACTTGTGGACTTCAACTCCCAGCAAAGCTGGCTGGAGAATTCTGGGAGTTGAAGTCCACACGTCTTAAAGTTGCCAAGTTTGGTGTCAGGATTCCTGCAGTTACCCCATTTAAATCCCGAGTCTCGAGCCAAACTTCCAAAACTTCAAAAGGATTTATTGGGAGTTAACATGTCTGGCATTGCCTGGGTGTAGCCAACATAATTCATTGTCACCCTTGACCCTGGTTCCCCCCACCCCCACCCCCTGGGTATATCGTAATTCATATCCTCCAATGGGACACATCCATAGCCCAGAGTCATCAATCAGGCTTTCCAGTTAGAATTTTGCATGGCAGAAACTTCGGTCACTTAGTTACTATCTTTGAAAACATTTTATGGAATGCAGTTTCTGTTTGCAAGCTTCCCCCTCCCTTTCTGTTGGCAACTCTAAAAAGACCACAGAAATATTTTATGAGTTGACATTTGGGGACCCCCTGTGCTAGAGAAGTGAAGGCTGACGTAGGAGCACATGTGAGCAAGTTTCCAGAATAATAGAACCGAAAAAGAGAGTTGGAAGGGATCTTGGGTGTCTTGTAGTTCAACTCCCTTTACCAGTCCTCCTCCTCCTTCCTTCCTTCCTTCCTTCCTTCCTTCCTTCCTTCCTTCCTTCTCCTCCTCCTCTTCCTCCTTCCTTCTTTCTCCTTCTTCCTTCTTCTTCCTTCTTCTTCTTCTTCTGGATGGAGCAGCCACAACTTCTGGAGGTAAACCGTTCCGCCATCAGGAAATCTCTCCTTAGTTCTAGGTTATAATAAGGTGCTTAGTTCTCTCCTTGACTAGTTTCCATCCATTGCTTCTTGTCTTGCCTTCTGATGGTTTGGAGAATGGGTTGATTCCCTCTCCTCTGTGGCAGCCCTTCCAGTGTTGGCACATCACTATCGTGTTGTCTGGAGTCTTCCTTTTCACTTAACTTGACCTACCCAATGCTTGCAGAGAAATTATATTGAGGTCTTCTGTCATGGCTTCTGTGTGCTGGCAAGTCCTCAACATGCGATCACAACTGAAAGCCCCAAGCTTTTCCTTGTAAGGTTACAATAGGCCAGGAATAGGTTGCTCAGTGTCCTAGCTCAGGGGTCTCCAACCTTGGGAACTTTAAGACTTGTGGACTTCAACTCCCAGAGTTCCTCAGCCGAGGAACTCTGGGAGTTGAAGTCCACAAGTCTTAAAG